CTTTAGCTGCTTTTTAAAATGGTTCATATGATGGTGTTTCATCTGTTTGCTAGTAAGTTACTGCAGTATTACAGGGTTGCCCAGACATTTAGCTTTTCTGGAAATGGCACAGTACCAAAAGTCTTCTGATGTTTACATGCCCATAACATAGGGCAGCAGGCTGCATATATAGGAGAAACAAATGCTGCTAATGAGTTGTTTCTTTATGTTGTCTGTCTTCCTTAGAACTCTGTAAAATAACATCACTGGCTGTGGTGTTCATTTGGGCCAAACTGACTGCAAACTATGGATTTCATTTGAAAATTGCCACCAGAAAAAATACAGGGGATGCTCAGGAGTGAAATTACCAGAGTCTGGGTCTCCTAAAGGATTTTTGGTTTTTTCTTCTAATGTTCACACAAATGTAAAGGTACTTCCCTCAAAACTATATCTTTTTTTCTTAAAACATGTCTTTAATTGTAGGCATGAACAGAATGATTCCAATGAGAGAACGTTCCAGAACAGAAGAAGATATCCTCCGGGCGGCATTGAAATTTAATAACAAGAAGACAGGAAGTAATCCAGCTTCAGCCTCTGACGATTCTAATGGATTGGAGTGGGAGAATGACTTTGTTAGTGCTGAAATGGATGATAATGGCAATTCAGAATATGCTGGATTTGTAAATCCTGTTTTAGATTTGTCTGCATCAGATGTAAGGATATCTGATTCTGATCGTCAAGACAGATAGTGAAACTGTGTGGCCCTTGTTTATGACCAAATTTTGGAAAGTGAAATAGAATGTACAAAACCAATTTGCTCTTTTATAACATGGTTCCCTTTTTTCATATAGATAGATCAGCAAGGAATGGGAATGACTTGCTATCTGAATTAATTCAGAATTAAGTGCAATTTTATCATCTACCTTCTAAACTTTTATGAAAACTGGGATGATTCTATTGTGTATATTTCTGGATATCTGGATTTAATATAAAATTATCTGCACTAATTTAAGCATCACAGCTTGACATATCTATATTTTAACCAGCCTCTTTTTCTGGATGATGTTTCTACTGATTTTGTTTTTAAAATTCATCATTGGCCTAACATTTATCTCAGAAACAGTCTTATATAATTTATCTAATACTTGAATATAGAAAAATAATTTAAATATGTTTTTATTTCCAATATGTGGTTTTGGCTTGTTCTTTAGCTGTTTAGAGGGTGTGCTTAGCCAGCTGCAAAACAAATTTCACACATGGTAAATTTCATTTTTTCCTTGTCTAGCTTATAGTCTTCCTAACCTTGCATTGTCCTCTTTCCATTGACTATATTTTTTTATTACTTTATGCTAAGCACAGTTAACCTCAATAAACATAGTATAAATCATCAGGTTAGATAAGATACTGTCATGTATTATATGCCAGACTTAGTTAAGTGTTTGCTAGATAGAAAACCAACTATAAAAATTCTTTGTGTGTCAAACTGGACATTTTAATCAGTATCTAGTGGAGAACTGGAAGGACCAAAGTCTTGCTTTCCCTGCCCCCCAAACAGACCAACTGTTACTACATGGTCCTTAAACTCCTTTAGTTGTGGAAAACTTATAATTCAGCTTGACTGGAACAATTATTGAAAAGCAACATTGTCTGAGCAAACTGGGGGAGGGACGATTGCTCTGCTGCTGGGGTGGGAAGAACAAGAACCTAAAGACTGAATTCCTCTATCTGCTTTTTAAAAAGAAGAAAAAGTTCCAAGATACAAAACATCATGTTTAAGTGCTCTAGCTTTCCTGTGCCTCTAAACTGGATGGTTAATACTGCTGATACGGACTGAAAATCAAGGAGGTGTTCAGTTACTGCAAATCTGATGTAATGTATTGTGTGGTTTCCCCCAATATTAATGTAAATTATAATTTTTTTTAAAAAGCTCACTGAAGAGAACATGCAAACCACTTGTAGATCTCAAACTTTTCCCAAAGTTTCAGTAAAGCCATTTTACTCTCTGTTATTTTGTGTAGCTGTCTTGTTTTTCCCTGAAAAAGGGCATGTAACTTAACACAATGTGTTGCTTTTACTCCACAATGGTGAAGTAGTAAATCTGCCTCGTCAGAAGAACAGAATTTGTCAGTGAAAGTTATGTCACTGTTTTAGATCCACTGAGCCTATATATAAATTTTAGGGTCACTACAGTGTGGTCCTCTTCATAACTTGAAAAAAATACTGCACACTTGGCTTAAATATGTACAAATATCAACACTAATGAACAGATAAATCTGGTTGTTAACATTCCGTTTCTTAATTTAAATTGTAGCTACGTCATTGAAAATATTTTAATGTAATTATCTATGTTTGCAATGCCTGTAATAAGCTTTAAAAATTTGTACACATCAAATGTATATTTTTGGTTTGCCATAAGATACTGCTGTGTAACTTCTCCTGAACATTTATTTGTATAATATATTCCTATGGAAATGAAGGCAACTTTCTCAACATGTAAATAACATGGGTTTTTTACCTGCTGAAACTGTAACTTACTCTGCCATGATCACTACTTTTCCTGACCAGTGAACATGAGGTTAACTTGTCCTGACCATTCTTAGAGGAAGTAAACTGGCTGATAGTCCTGTTTGTAGAATGAACAAGCACTCAGGAAAAAGGAAGCTGATGCAGCTGAAGGCTTTTACTGTGATGGGCATGTTGTGTAGCCAGGGTTAATAGCATTCCGCTTTTCAGAGTTCAGTACACCACACTGAGTGACTTAAATTATGGTCGGTATTTGTGGCAATTTAAGAAATTGAAAGATTATATAAATAGCTCATGTGAAACAATACAACAGTACTGTAAAATGTGTATCTGCACAAATTTAAAAGTCATTAAAATTTTCCGTCAGTCTTATGTTTGTCAATGTTTAATCTGCTGCTAGTTTTGTGGCTGCCATGTCGTGTATAGTGAAAACTTGTTTTAACAATTGATCTTCACACATTACCCAGAATTTACCTATGCGTCAGCTAACTGAGGAAGGTTTTAATCAGTAATTAGTCGTGTCTTTAACTACTGAATTTCCATAGCATCCCTTCTTGAGACATGTTGCTTTGGAAGGGAAGCTCTAACAAGCTGCGGTAACAGAGAACTTGAGGAGCTTGGGAGTGTGGAGCGTTTCTTCTGTCAGCAATGAGCAGCTGTACCCTCATACTTCAAAGGTAAGATAACCTTCCTTGTGTAATGAAGGCAGCTTCCTAGTCTTCATGCCTGTCTGAGCCAGTTCACCGTTTTGTGTTGACTTAGCTGATTGTGTCTGTATATAGGAAATACAGTGTTTTTAATAGGAAACTATGATTTTTAATTCCAGAGGAGTGTTTCCGCTACGTTACTCATCTACAGGTTATACATATGTTTCTATGCTACAGCGTTTCGGGTGAACAGAGGGTGTTGTGGTGTGCCTATACTGAACTAACTTCTGGTCAAATCAACACAGTGATAGGATCCTCCTAGGAGAGGATTAATTTTTTAATGCGTATTTTGAGGTTGAGTCTTACCCCAGGAAAATATAGTTGTACTGATGATTAGTATTTGGAAGCCATGAAATTGTTCTGGGTTTGTTTTTCCATTCCCAAGGTTTTCTCCTGGTGCCTGGAGATGTGCTGAAGGAATGCTTTGCTCTAGATCTGTGGATATCCATAGAGCTTCTCTATACAGAGTGAATACAGTATCTTCTGAGATGCACCACTCTGAACTCTGCAGACCAGATGGAAGGTTTTTCCCAGGTAAATACTGTTTGTAGATACTTCTGTTTATGTACTGCACTTGAAAATGAGATTGGGGTTGCCACTTTTTCTTTAGATATATAGCCCAGAAATTGTAGTCAAATTAATATGATTGGTGCCATAGGTTAATGTCCTACATGACAGAGCTAGTGAATTGGATAACAATACAGATTAGTGGTGGTATTAGCAACCTGTTTTTTAACCCAAAGCAGTGCAAAACAAAAACTTGCATGCGGTCTGTAATAATTTAAGAGCGCTAATATGAAGAGAGCTGCTTGCTGGGAACGCAAAACTAACGCTCCCTGCTCCCTCCCTTCTGAGCCAAATTAGTGAATGTAAGAAATCCCATGCATTTTATGAGAGGTGATCTCATGTAAAAGCTTTTATATGTAAGAGCTTGTTTCAGATTGTATTTGCATCTTGTTCTCTTTTTCTAGACAGCTTGCATTTGCATTCTGTCTAATTAAAAGAGTAGAAGACTGAGGTCAAAAGCATATAAAAGCTGAGCAGCCAACAACTACTGGAAGTGTGCAACCAGTAGCACCATGCCTGGTGACATGGTGATACCTGCTCAGGTTTGTTTTGTTAAGCATAGGGGCTGGGTGTGTGACAGAGGTGTTTGTGCCACGAAGGCAGCTGAATTGAACATTTAGGCCAAAGACCATAAAAACAAAGTAAGTACTAGAGTCTAACTCAAAGAGTAGAAAACATGGGAACAAGGTATTTTTGGCAAGGATGAGGTGAATAGAGAAATGAAATCCTAGCTAAGCCTGTGCTTGAGTTTCATTGCCTCTCTTCTGACTTTCTCTCACTTGTGGTTGTTTGCCTTAATCTCAGGTTACGTTGTGTAATTCAGCTGTCCTTCCCTCAGTTAAAATTCTGGTTTTGTTGTAATGATTAATGCTGAAATGCATCCTGATGTTTAGGGCTGATAGGTTGGGTAACTTATGTATGCTCTGTTCTGATTCTTTCCAGTGTGTCTTTCAAGAAAACAAATACTTAACAACAAAAATCAAGTGCTCATGAAAAGCTGAGCCCCTAGCAAAGAAAAACTTAACTGAAACAACCTGAGAAATACTTAAATGAAAAAAAAAAAACCCAAAACAAAACAAGAGAGCTTGGAATGGTGGGTAGAGGTAGAAGACTTGTTGAAAGTATTTCTGTCACCTCTTATCTTGGAGCAATGCCACTTTTAGAAAGCCCAGAATAGTGCCAGTGAAAATTTCTTACCTGGATTGTCCTGGAAATAACTTTATTCACCATAAGTGCTTTTAGATCGTAGTTGCAGAAGACAGTAAATCCTTACTAGGCAACCAAATGCTTTTATTACAAAATTTATCTGGATTTTTACATACTGTGATCACTGACACTGCATGCTTCTTTACATTCACAAGCAAAAGTAGTTAACTTGCAAAAAATATGTGTTTTTAATTAATTTAAAAATAGACAAAAATCTCACTGCAAAGTTAATAAAAACATTAACTTTAAAAGACGATACTGACAAAGTGTTTCTATACTGCAAAATCTGGAAAGTTACAACCTAAGCTTGAAAACACCATTTGGAATTTCATGGCTAAAGCAAAGCATGAAGTATAATAAACGTGCTGAGACATTATGTCCCTACTTAGCTCACCAATGCTGGGGCTAAAACACTGTTCTACATGCTCTATAGTAATGCCTGTTAAGTATACCTTCAAGGCATGTGGTCACAGTTCTGGAATTGGAACTGCTGCAGTGGATTTGAGTGGCTCTCTGTGCCTCCCACATGTTTATGATACAGACAGTGGTGATCTGAGAGCATTCATGGCTTGGTGAGACAGTGGCAGGAAACTGTTTCTGTTGAATGAAGTATGTTCTGGTATGCCTGAGCTGAAAACACCAAGTAAGAAGAATGATGTGCAGTGGTGAGGACCATCAGGAGCAGTGGACTGAGATGACAGCCTTCGGTTTCAGAAGTTGTGCAGGTTTCAAATGATCAAAATCTGATCCAGCCTCCTTCTCCCCACTAGCACGACTCATTTTCATCAATCTCTATGGGGCTTTTGTCTTGGGAAGGAAACAAGGAAGAAGAAATGCCATTCTCTGGTATAGGTTGCAGTGATGGCAGGCATCTTTCCTGTAAGATTGGCACTTCAGCCAAGTGTAAGTGAGTCTCAAAATAATCCATGGACTCCCCTTCTTGAATCTCTGCTAAAATCTGGTAGTCCCCAAAACAAATTATGCACTTCCATGGCAGGTCAATTTTGTTTAAGTATCCTAGTTCTGTTTGGTCCACTATCAGTTTTGTTTTCTTGCTCATGTTCTTTATCTCAAAACAAAACTCTGAGCTGTTCAGTTTTCTGTAAAACTGCAGTGAGAACTGAATCCGAGAAACACGAGTATCCATTAAGTTGTAACGGCAGACACTGGAATCACGGCCAAACTTGGCCATTTCATCTGCCCTGACCTGTTCTCGCTTACAGAAATTCAAGCAACGAAACATCATCTTGTCTTCTTGGCAAGGATGGTAAAAGGTCATGTGGAGACACGTTACTGTTTCTTCAGTTTCAGCTTCTTCAAAAGAGGTCATGATGAAATGAGTCCTCAGAACTACAAGAAAGTAAAATCGCAACATGAAATCACTGTGGTACCAAAAAAACTGGCTTCAACGTGGCATTAAAATACTTCATATACTATTGTATAGCGAATATATAATTTACAGCAAACTGGCTGACAGTAAATGTAACAAAAACACTGGAACGAAGAAGTGGGAGTTGAACCTACTCAGTCCATGCCAACCACTGCTTCCTACCACCTTGCCAGAGGTGTGTTCGGTGACCACAGCTAAGTGACAGACCGCTCTGTGCTGAACTCTTCCCAGCAGTCTCGCATCTGTCACAAGGGCTGCATAGCACTCCAGAAGTCTGAAAAGCACCCGTGACTGTAAATTATTGCCGACTAGTTCTTCATGAGGGTCCTGCAGGTAGATTTATCTTTGGAAGAAATATGTCACTTAGCAGTGACAGTAAGCTTTGCTTTATGGACTTAAAAGTATTGTAGTACTGTCTGGGCCTGCATGCTCTGTTTTACAGGGTAGTCCTTGGTCTAGAGGGTATCAGACAATCGACTTACAAATGTAGTCTGACTGTAGGCAGTAATAGTTCAAATGTGTATAAAGCACTCTTGGCTCTTTATTCAGAATTTACCTCTTGTATGAAAACAAATACAGTGTATAAAAGTGACTGATGTGACAGTATGTAAAATTAATGCAAAAACTGGAACATCAGCAAGACCTAAAAGAGAAATTGTCACCAACTGTAGGTATTTCCCTGTTACCTATAAGAAAATGCCAGCTATCTACTGCAGAAGTACCTACCTAGGCACTAAAAATAACAAATAACTTTTGCTGAGTTTCAGGTTTTGGGTGTTGTTTTTTTTTTTTATTAAGCTCACATGCAGCACAGAGATGCTTGCTTATGAACTAAATTCTGTTCCAAAGTTAACTGAGTGCATCCAAACAAAATCTATGAGACACTTGAAGAAACATTGTAATCTGGTCCTCTATACATGCAAAGCCAGTAGTTTCTTGGACTGATAGTCTAAAGAAAGAAAAGGCTACGTAATTACTTACAGTAGGAACCAGAGAATTAATTCAGTTACTCACCAGAGAAACATGTGAGCAGCCATTTAACTGGAATCATGTAATGCAGATGTTTGTCATGTTTCTCCTTCTAGATTACAGTAAGTTCCCAACATGTCACACACCGATCCCGAGCTTTCTCACCAGGTCTAATCAGTAAATGATGCTGTAAAGCACCTTATAATTTAATCTGTTTTTTTCTATGGGTAGGTGAATCACCACTGCAGTAAAGTATTCTGGCTTGTGGTTTTTTAAGGTGAAATTACATCACTGTACATAAACACCAAGCACAACGATGGTGTATCAGTGCATCACTTTGTGTGAAACCTCAGAATTGCTTCCTTCTTGCACCTTTAAGACCGTAACAGCAACAGTTCTGACACAGTAGTTTAGCAACCTCAGCTTGCTTACTGAAGTAGGCTACAACAGTGCTTCTATCAAGCTTAGATGATTAGAGAAATAGAAAATCTGAAGTAGCTCTCAGAGCTCGATTCAAAACAAACTAGGAAATACCATCAGTGGATGGACTGTCTTTCTGTGCTTAGTTCTGCCCTTTGCTGTTTTGTGCCAGTAAGAGGATGTGAGAGTCTATGAGGTCAGCTTTGGTTAAAGGGGAAAACCAAATCATTTCACTTGGTTTACACATCAGCCTACAGAGACAGTTTTTCTGTCTCAAGACTTTGACTGACTGATAACAACTTAAGAGCATGTCTGCTTGTGTTAGTATCTTCTTAACTGGTTTCTGAAATGCATCAGGACTGGGCAAAACACAGGAATATAAAGAAACATATTTTTAGAAATCTGCAATGTTATATACAACTGTGCATTGGATCAGTGCAAAAGGTTGGCTTTATTTGCATGTTTATGAATTATAAAAATGTCTATGTTTATTAATTAGGGAAGGGGAAGAATAGTCACTGATAACTTCAGCAGCACCCACTGACCCTGGATCTCAGCAGCTCCCACAGACCCTGCTCTCTATTCATGATCTGTTTGTGTGCCACCTCCTCCATCCTCCACTCAGCTGCCCTGTAGTCTGTTAAAGGTTTATTGAGATTGGATTGAACATATTTTCATGTAAATACTGAAGGAGTTTCTATTTACTAGATTGGACAGGAGAAATATTTCAGAGAACCCCAACTGGAGAAAGAAACTTGCTATAGTTAAATCCAGAATTCTGCAACTGTAAGGTTGCACTGGTGTTGTCTGTACCTTAATTTTAGTCAAAGTGTGATCTTACCTCTTTCCCTTCTTCTAGCATCATCTCCTTCAGTGTGCATCATTACCCCCATTTTTAGAGACAGGAAAATGCATTAAGACCAAGGACGCCGAACTTGAGAGCCACAGGGCTCACACTTAAATGTTTAACAACATACACAAGACCTATAACTCTCTACCTGGACCTTATTGCTCAGAGCTCTGCCAGTTTGCTTTTGCAAATCAAACCATAAGCGTTCAACCTACATATCACAAAAGAATAACATCTGTTTTGTGATTTAACTTTCATTTTGAAGGACCATGAACTTTGAGGCAGGGCGGTGCATGAGTTTCAAGCACATTCCACAAGGACAGCTCGCCTTTTTGTGTCCCCAAAATGCTGTGTTGTGGTCGTGGGCTTATCTTTCTCCCTCTGCAAGAGCCTGTGTCGGAGGCTGGCAGACCACAGCTTGCATTTCAAACTCCGCTCATCCCCCGAGCAGGTTTGTCCCACGTGCTGCTGCACTTACATTGCCCAGAACAAACCAAATGTACTTCTGACAGCTCCCCGCTTGGGAGCACGACTTCACTTTCTCTAAAAACACCATTTTTGCCGGCGATACTGGAGAATATGCCCCAAAGTGTTGCCTACCCGCGGAGAACCCAGACTCACGGAGCAGGGCTCTGCCCCACAGTCCCCTCCCGCTCCCAACTGCTCGGCGAGGGCAGGAGCCCCCCCAGCCGCCATCTCCCTCGGAATTTAGTGAAGCAGCCCCGCTCCCCGCTGTGCCGGTACCCCAGGGCAAC